GCACTTCTCAAACACTCTCTACTTTCCTTCTCCTGTTCCAATTTTGTAGGGGTAACCTCCATTTGCTCTTCTTCCTCTTTATATTCCTCCAAGAGAGCACAAATCTGCTCCCAGATTCTCTCTAATTCTTCTTCCTGCTTCCTTTTCAAGAAAATCTCCCCCTCCTCTTCTCCACAACCTTTAACCGTGGTCCCACTTTCCCCTCCCTTGGCTATTCCTCCTGGTTGAGAAGCCGAAGTACCTGTTTCAGGCATAGGACCCTTGTTAGTACCAGAAAACAAAATAACAGGCGTACCTGAATCTAAGGTAACTGGAAGAGTGGGAACACGAGCAAAAGGTGCTAGCGGAGGCGACGAATCTAGACCTGGTCCCCCTGTCTGATTGATCTTTGGAAGTTGTCTAGGTTCAACCAAGTCTGTGTTAACCAATGCAGCCGAAGCTACCTTTAAAGGTTGCCCCCTAATTGGTGACTCTGCATGGAATGCCAGTAATGAATTCTGGCCCTCTAAATAGATATACTGAGAAGGTTGCAGTCCAAGGGTGGGTTTGTCTGTTGGAGTAGATGTACCCTGTGCCTCTTTCGTAAAAGAGGTTGAACCCATCAAGACCTTGTGTGAAGTACAAACTGGGGAGGGGGAGGGAACTGCCGCTTGAATCCCTGTCATTGAACCACAAACATCTTCCTCTAGGAACAACGACTCAGTATTTAAACTATCATCTTCAAAAATGTCCTTTGTTTGGGAAAAATTGATACTACCAAGGCTCAACGTATCCTCAGTTTCAGAATCAGAGCACTCTTCCTCATCAGACGAAGACTCCATGTCAAGTTTCTCTAAGTCGCTTCTTTTGACACAACAGGGATTGCAATGATCTGGAGATGATTGCTGAGATTTTTTTGCCGGGATCCATTGTAGAGAGCTAGATGTCTGAGCGGGAGCCTTCAAATTGCCGGACAGGGAGGGGTCCTTCGCAGAGTTCGAAGAGCTTGAGGAAGCCGATAGATGGTTGCTATCGTCTACCTTAGGCCTAACCTTAGTCACATGATTTTTTAGAGGCTCATGCGCCTTTTTAAGTGACTGGGTTGGGCCCGCTGACACTGGTCCATTTGGGCCTTTACCAGTGTTTAAGTCCCTCAAAATAGAAGGCCCATTAGATGACACAGGCCCACACCTTTTTCTTTGGGCCAGAGCTGGATTTAACCCTCTTCCAACTTGGTTCAACGGTTCACCTACAATTGCTAGTTCCCTACCCGGTTTGTCCAAAGTACGCTTACCCTGACCCTGTGGAAAAGAACAGTTTGAAATTTCCAAACGGCAATCCTTGGTGCCAGAAGCAACCACCTGAGCAAACGATCTGGTGGACGTCAGATCTATTCCTTTACACTTGCCATTTTGACCTTCCAATCTGCCGAAATCTTTTGGAAATCCTAAAGGCTGCCTAACTTTCTTTGAGTACACCAACCCCAAACTGCCACGTAACTCTAATATTTCTGTCCTCTCATCTCCAACCTGTCGAGCCTCCCTCCACAGATCAACTTCAATGGAGGCCAACCACACCGGAAAAATCACCCCATCAATGTTAATAGTTATCTTTCTGGGTATGTCCTCAGGCTTAACTCCACTCGACAAAAAGGCTGCCGATTGGTCTCCCCAAAACTCTCCATCAAGACGGACACCACATAACACTACAATGGAGGCTGCTATCTCATGATTCCAGAGGTGGAAAGGCAGCCCAATCACTCGGATCATCACACCATCTTCAACTGAAAAAGGCTTTGAGTTCGAAGAAGGAGACCACTTAAACAGAGTAAAAGTACCTAAAACATCATGAAAATTCAAAGCTTCAATTTCGATAAGATTTTCAACAGGATCAATTATATATGTCAAAGGGGGTCAGGATAAAGGTGGTTCGTAGATTCAATTTTTGTATTAACAAATCAGCAACTTTCCTCCACAATGACTGTTAATGTAAGGAAAGAACGTTGGGAGGTTGTCCTTACAGTGTGCCATAACAAATAAATTCTTCTTTTGCCCCTTTTCTCTGAAAGGTAAGAAAGGTCTTCATCGCTGTCGCAACCTCCTTCCACCCTTGACTATTTTTTCCTTGAGGAAAGCAAACCGTTTGCTTCTTAACTTTAGCAAAGAACTCAGACAAAGCAATGTATGATCCTTTGGAGTTCCATTTACATTCCACCAAGTATCTTTTTCCTGTCTCCAAGGAACTTTCCGGCCTACTTAGTTTCTTACCTTTAGTTGCTGCCTCCAATAGAAAATCCATGAGCCATTCAACCATTCAACCATCTCATGTCATTGAACCAAGACCATCGCCTTCTTCATTTCCCGAATCTTTAGGCTAGGGTGTCCCTTAATCTTCAACTCCTCGAAGAGAATCTTTAGCTTCTATTCTCAAGGATTTCCTCCATTGTGCAATCTCCACAAAGCCTCTGCTCTCCATGGCTTCCATAGAACTTGATTTCCCCTATTGGTTTTCATTTTTGCAACTTGATTGTTCTGTGTCCCTTGTTCGTAGCAATTCCATATCAACACATTACTGATTGGAAGAAAACTTAAAAGAACTCTTCCATTGCCTTCTTTTATTTTTTACCTTTTTTCTATTACATATAGACCATCATTCGGTCCCAAAGCCTGGATAATGGAGAAGAGTTGTGTCAGGTTGGCAGTCGACACTAAAACTTTGCCAAACTCTCACGATCATGATGACCATCATATGTCCATGTTCCATCACAAATATTTAAAGCAATAGCATGAATATAAAAAATGCATCTTCTCTATATTATTTCAAAAAACTAGAGATACAAACAAGCAAATAAAGATGTAAAATGATTTTGTGATTAACTGGGTTGAGTAGTCATTAATCAATTGGTCGACCTAGTTGGTGCTTAGTCATCCTAGCCTAGGCGATCACATCATTGAGCATTGGCAAACTAATTAGTGATTCAATTCATCTAGCCCTCAACTGACAAGTTGGTCATAGGAATGACAACAGGGCGGGGATCATATTCCCGTCCTCGACCCTAATTTTGAAATAAATCCCCATCCCCCACCTTGATCCCTGTCAGAGGTAAAAGTTATCCTCCATCCCCGGTCCTTGGCGGAGACGGGTTCCCCATGGGGACCCGAATCCCTGAATTTTTTAAATTAACAATGTTTTTTTGAAAATATTTACTTAAAATAAAGGAAAATTTTAAAATATAAATAATATTTTAAATATGTTTTGATATCTATACCTATCTATCTATCTCCCGATGGGGTCGGGGAGGGCGGGTACCCGGCAGGGATGGGGAAAATTGCCATCCCTAGTTGGTCGACTAGTTGACACTTTGGTAACACTAGTGATTAGGGCTGTAATTGGATCGGAGCCAGCTATAACAGCACCCATCTGATTAGTAAACATTTGATTCTGAATCTGATCTGAAATCCAAAAGGTTGGACTCAAATCATATTCAGATTTAATCTGCATCCAATTTATTGCGCTTAAAATGGCAACAAAATAAAAAAAAACTCTTATAAAAACTAATTGTTTTAACTTATACATGTATAGCAAATGTATATAAATATAACATATTAAATTTATCAGTTATAAACTTTATATATTTATATACATAAAATAATAATTTTTAATTGGACTTGGATTTTAATTGGATCGGATGGGGTTAAATCCGCTTCTGATCTGATTATTAATTGGATGCAAGTTCTAATATCCAAATCTAGAATAATTGGATTTGGTGTCAAATCATGTATTGGATTTTTAGAGTCCATTGGTATCCCTATTGGTGATGAGTAGTCAGTGCCTAGGTGTTGACTAATTGATAATTATGTGTTCTGAATTTAATATATTAATGAAAATTCATAAATAAGTTACTATAAAGTACAAGAAAAGAATAATATTGAACATATAGTCTTTGTTTTTCATGAAAGAAAGAGTGCAAATTTGATTATTCAATGTGTCCTTTGTGCCAATTCTGTACCAACAAATCATTGATTGGAAGAAAGTTTAAAAGAACCCCTCCACCGCCTTCTTTTGTTTTATGCTTTTTTCCTATTTTATACACAATCCAATCATGTTCCATCACAAATATTTAAAGCAACAGCATGAATGTAACAAAATGCAGACATTCTATATATTATTTCAAATAATTAGTAGTCCAAACAAACAAATAAAGATTTGAAGTGACTTTGTGGTTGACTAGTTGACTAGTTGACTAGTTGACCTAGTCAATGCTTAGTTGTCCTAGGCAACCACGTCATTGAGTATCAACTGACTAGTTAGTGATGAAGTCAGTGAGTTTGGCCCTCAATTGAGTAGTTGATACTCGATCTAGTTGTTGACTCTTCAGTAGCTTTTCACTTGAGTTACTTCTATAACATAACTCTATTAATTACACCCGCATCATTGAACTAGGACCCTCCACCTCTTCTTGTCTCTTTGTGTCCTTATCTTACTGCAAGGTAAATTTATATTAACTGATCCAAAAGAAGGAAGAACCTCTACATAGTGAGTTGCTATCAATTATAGGCATATTCAGACAGCAAAAGGAGTTTCAGATTTACTAAGCAGATATCCATGGGTCACTGTCTATTCAAAGAGGAGTTTCAAAATCTCTCCAGCTTTTCCCCCCTTCTTTTGATAGATCAAAATCTCTCCAGATTTCAAGGGTTCATGTCAACAAATCTCTCCAGATTTCAAGCAGAAATGTTATATGATGCTCCTATTCCTTCTGTTGGCAAAGTCCTAAATGCTTGTGAATATAAAATTATCATCAATTTATTTGCAAGAGGATAAAAAAACATCAACTTTTGTTTGGAGAAATAAATTCTTTCACAACAATTTGAAATAGACGTAGGATAATTGATACCAAACTCTTTATGTAGCACTTCTCCTATAAATCTCAATAGTATTGTTGTTTATTAGGAAAGGAGAAGATGGCAAAATACATCTTGTAATTGTTACTTGATCATACTGTTTCTTATGGTTGGCAGGTAAAGAAACCAAATCCAAAAGAATTGAATCCATACCTGAAAGACAATGGAAGTGGTTATCCACAAGATGCAGGTGAGATAAAAGTTGGTGGGGACCAGATTTTGCCATCATCAGTTGTTGGTGATGGAGGTGCAAGTTGGCGAATGAAAGCCTTGAAGCGGGCAAAAGAACAAGCAGCTCGTGAAGGACGAAAGTTTGAGGAGGTAGATTTAATTATCTTTCTTACAAAGAAGAGTTAAGTTTATTTGCATTATGAGGTCTGTTCTATAGGCTCGCACTTCTGTATCCTTGAGTTCTAAAAAAGGTTTACAGGTTGTTGAGGAGCGATGGGAATCCCTAGGTCATCTTACTGTTTCTGTGGCATCTTCTGCTGCTGCCCCTTCTCATGCTCATCTGCATGCCATAAGAGATAGGAAAAGGGGGATTACAGAGAAACATGAGATTGCTGAGGATGATCTAAATAAGCGGGATGCTGAAAAGGTACCTGGTGATACGAATCAGGAAAGGGTACCTGGTGATACCCGAAAGTACTTGCGGGATGTATCTCTTCGGAATCCTGAAATGAAGGCGCCAAAGTTTCATAATGATTTATACTGGAGAAAGAAAAGGACTGAGAATATGTCTGCTGAGGGAGCTGAGCTCATCTCTGCTGCAGCATCAAACCTAAATAAATTTGCAAATGATGGAAACTTCATGTGTGAATTTACTCGTCAACAGAATAAAGATGCAGATGGTTCTGTTAGTTCTTCTGAAGCTAAGAACTCTGGTGAGGATGTTCCAGTTGTTAAGGAAGTTTTAAGTGCAAATCAGTTGGCAGCTAAGGCATTGCAGCTTCGTATGAAAGGAAAACATGAAGAAGCTGACAAACTTTTGGTGAGAGGACATTTTAATTTTAATGCTAGGCATACTTATTTATCAATAAAGTAATCAAATTTACTATCTTTTTTACATATCATATATGGAAACCAACTAGAAATTGATAATTTTCTACGAAACAGAATGATAACTCATAAACAGCACATGATAAATGAGGCGTGCATAACTAGCATGACTATAAATCTTTTATTTTAAACTTCTTTTCAATATTTATAATTCAACTTCAACTACGCCAACAAGTTACATATCTAAGTCTTCTTAATTGGTTGTGTTATTTTGATCATGTGAGGATGAAATTCTTATCCTCCCATGGAACCAGAGCTACTGTAAGCAGTTGGGTTGCTCCATTGCAACCTGGGTGACCGAGGTTCAAATCTTGGAAACAGCCTCTCTGTATGTGCAGGGTAAGGCTGCAGACATTTGATTATCTTTTGTGAGGATTGTGACTTGGTGAAAGTGAGAAATTTGAAGAATCTGATTATTCTCTTTGAGAGTGCCTCTAATTTGAAAATCAATTTTGAGAAGAGTTGTGTGGTTGGACTAAACTTGGATGAGGGGGAATTGGATTTTATTGCTGCCTGCTTAGATTGCACCTATTTTGAGTGGGCTTTGACCTATATAGGACTTTCCCTAGGTACCAACCCAAAGGAAAGTCGGTTTTGGAATCCCGTGGTGGAGAAATTTGAAAAAAGGTTCGCGACCTAGAGGAGGAACTACATTTCATTGGGGGGTAGACTGGTGGAGTAACTTTAATCAAAGCTACATTGCCAATTTGCTAATATACTTTCTGTTGGTCTTTAGGATACCTAACAGGGAAGCCAAGAGGATTGAAAAATTGATGAGGGATTTCCTATGGGAGCTAGGGGAAGAAAAAAGGATCATTTGATCAACTGGGAAGTATTGAGCTGCATTAAAAAAGAGGGGGGGGGGGGTTAGGGCTAGGAAAGATAGTAAGAATGACGCTCTTTTAGGCAAGTGGCTTTGAAGGTGGGAAAGAGAGAGATTATGGCATGAGGTGGTGGCTATCTGAGACTGGTTGGGATGCAAGGGTATCTTGATGGGCTTTTCTCATAACACCTTGGAAGGCTATTTTTGGCACCCTCCCTAAATTCCTCAGGTTTGTAAGGTATGACATCTGCTTTGGTAATTCTGTTATTTTTTGGGAAGATATTTGGGTGGGCTCTCAACCTCTAAAAGATCGTTTCCCCTCTCTTTACTCTATCTCCCTTTTTATAAAGGTGCATGTTTCAAGGTTTCTTCCCCCCAATTCTCCCTTTGACTCTAAATTGGAATTTTGGGTTTTGTAGAGGTTCAAGGGATGATGAATAGCTTGTGTCTCTGAGCTTTTGCTTCTTTTGGACTTTGTTTGTTTGGACCTGTCTAAACCTGATAGAAGAATTTGGACTCTAACTCCTAATGGTTCCTTTACTTGTGCTTCTTTTTTCAAGCCCCTTTATTCCAACCCTCTCTCTTTGGAGTTCCCTGTCAAAGAAATCTGGTCAAGGTCCATTCCTCCTAAAGCAGTTGTCTGCTGGAAGCCTTTTAATGTAAGATCAATACTATAGATAACCTGCAAAAGAAAAGACCTTATCGTTGTTTGTCCCCAAACTAGTGTATTTTGTGTAAAATGCATAATGAGGACCACCACCACTTGCTATTATCTTGTGCATTTGCTGCTAATATTTGGAATTGGGTTTTTATGTTGTTTGGGTGCAGGTGGAACTTGCCTTTTGAAGTAAACTTGCTTTTTGACTCGTCTACTTTTGGGTGGCCAACTAAGAGARGGAAATTAATGTGGAAATGCATCAGAGCAGCCATTGAGCAGAGAGATTCACCAGCCGGTCATCGCTTGTCTGAATAACGAGGTATTATATAGAGGGAGAGTTCGAAGTAGTGGGAAGGTGGAGAAAGGAAGTCTCGTTCGAAGCAAAGCAATACAAACTAGAAGAAGTGAAAACGAGGTTTCTGGTGTTTCTGAAGATAAGAGAAGAAAAAAGAACCACAGTGTATCTCCAAAGGGAGGTAGCAGCATGGCTGAAAGGTTTCCTAGATGTAGCTTTAGTGTCAAGGAAAACGCAAGCCTGGAAGAACTCAATCAAAATCAATGGAAAGGAGTTTGTAGCTGAACTTCGACTAAATAGGAAGGGCTGGTTTGTAACAGTTTCAGAATGGTTCGGCGAAGGTAGAAGACAAATGATTTGTATTCCCGTGGGAAAATAGAGCAAGGGGTGGATGCTGTTCGTAAAGGAATTGCAGATGTTCTTATGGAGAAACGAAAACAGGCCAATGAATATCCAACCCAATCAAGCACATGAAAATCAATCACATATAGTTGGTTTGGTGGGAAGGAAGTTGCAGGGAAGGAAGATCAAACATACCAGAACTGGTGTAAGAAATATGTGATACTTGCAAACAAAAGAGTAGGCAGTTGGGGATGTGTCGCAGAGGAGATTAAAAGAAAACTGAAAGTGGATGGAAGCTTCGTTCTTTGACCATTTCAAGAAGATAAGGCAATACTAGAACTAGAAGCAGACAATCGGGTGGAAGAAATACACGCGCTTCCCATTCAGACTGCTGAAGGAGTAATGGTGATCAGTCAATGGTGTCCGAATGCGAATTGTGTAGATCAGACAGAAATCTTCCGCATCAATGTGCTAGGGCTCCCATTTCATCTTTGGTCCCTTGAAAACTTCAAGAAAATCGCAGATCTGTGCGGTGGAGTCCTGGAGGAAGTGGACGTATCTAATATCAGTGCAGCTTCGATGAAACTGGGGGGAGTTAAAGTAGAATCAATACCGAGAACAGTGAGATTGGAGGTAGGCAACACAAATAAGGTAGTCTGGTTGCTGTCGTCGGTGGAGGAGAGACTCTGTAGAAGCCTGCAAGAGGTAGAAGACGATGACATGGCAAAGGTAAAAAATGAGAGAAGCATGGAGGAGAAGTCTGACCGTTTTTGCAAGGAAAAGGAAAACGGGCAGACAGTAAATTCGAAAGATGATGGTTAGAATTCTAAAGAAGGTTTAGAATCTGGGCCATCCATCTCATATCAAGGAGCAAGAAAAAATCTGATGCTGACGTGGCAGCTGGAGGGGGCAGAAATAAAAGAACAAATTTTGGAAGGGCACCAAAACTGGACCCAGGGTCTAAACTGGTCGAACTAGATAACTTAAACAGGTCATGTGACCACTTAAAATCGCATGGGTGCAGGCTGGCCCAAAGGCTTGGGGAAATAAAAGATAACTTGGTGAAAAGGATTGAGGAGCTAGATAGGAAAGAGGTTCTCAGAGTCATTTCAGAAGAAGAAAAAGGGGAAAGATGGAATCAAAAGCGAAAATTTGAAGAGATAGTACGCATAGTTTTCAAGGCGCCAAGGCGAGCTAGGCGACAGGAGGGCGCCTTGTCGCCTAGGCGATGGATTTTTTTAAGTGAATACATATCCTAGGTAGTTCCCTAGGTTCCATAACCATCTTTCCTTAATAACTATCCATAATTTTCTATTATAAACTTCATGTTTATGTCTAGAAAATCAACATATTTATGAGAAGAAAAAGAAGAAAGAAAAGAAAATTCAAACAATATGGGGACTGAACCCCTATTTTTGTTATAGGAAAAGAAGAAAAGAAAAGGTGGAAGAAGAAGAAGGAGGAGGAGGAGGAGGAGGAGAAGAAGAAGATGTGGAGGAAGAAATGTGTTGATTAGACAAAACWTTAAGTTTTTCCCTTACTTATTGGTTCAAATTCTGAAGTCTTTGAGGGTTCAATACAGCAGTTAGAAATGTTTGTGTTGATTAAACCCTAACAAATAAGAAAATAATACAAAGAAATTAGTTTATAAACACAAAAATGATATTCATTAAAAAAATGTCTTTTATAATTATATTTACAAAAAAATGTCTATTTTATAATTATAATATAAAAAAAGTAACAATATAAAAATGTTTTATAAGACAGTATACAAAACTGCTAGGCGACTGGGCGATGCGAGCCTCCAAGGGCGCCTTGTTGCTTAGGCGTCGCCTTGACAACTATGATAGTACGAAAGGAGGAGATTTGTTGGTGACAGAAATCAAGGTGTCAGTGGCTTGCAAAGGGGGACAGAAATACTAAGTTTTTTCACTCTCTTGCAACTGGAAGGAGAAAGAAGAACTTAATCTTGAGTGTGGAGGAAGAGGGACAAGTGGTAAGAGAAAGTCAGGGGATTACAAGGACTTTTTAAAATCATTTTAAAGAAATTTTCTCAAGGCCACCCGGAGTGTTGCCAGAATTGCCAGAGATGGAAGGGGATGTTTTGTCAGAAGAACAATCTTGTGTCCTAGAAAGGAGTTTTCTCTGCAAGAAATCAAGGAAGCTATTTTGGGTCAGATGGCTTCTCCATGGCCTTCTATCAAGAGTGTAGGGATATGGTGAAATCAGACATCCTGGAAGTCTTTAATGAATTTTCTCCAAATGGGAGGTATCACCAGGAGCAAATGCCACATTTATCACTTTGATTCCAAAAAAGAGGGAGGCCAAAATCCCTARAGACTTAAGATCAATAAGTTTCATTGGGAGTGCTCACAAAATTCTGTCAAAGGTTTTAGCAGAAAGACTAAAAAAGGTATTACCCTCAATCATCTCTCCTTTTCAAGGAGCTTTTGTAGAAGGAAGGTAGATTGTGGATCAAATCTTGGTGGCTAATGAATGCGTAGGGGAAAGAAGAAAGGGTAGAGAAAAGGGGCTGGTTTGTAAGGTAGATCTAGAAAAAGCCCATGACTTGGTTAATTGGGATGTCCTTCTAAAAGTTTTAGAAAGATTTGGATTCGGAGATAGATGGAGGGCTTGGATCAAAGGATGATTGAGTTAAGCTCACTACTCAATCCTAATCAATGGTACAACAAAGGACTTCTTCCCGGCCAGGAGAGGAATTAGGCAAGGTCCCCCTATCCCCATTCTTGTTTACCTTAGTGGCAGAAGTGTTAAATAGAATGGTGGCAAAAGCTGATGCTCAAGGCCTCATCA